AAGGCTAAATAAGCCTTGAACTGACTTAGGAGATGATGTCTGTGACCTGGGTGTAATGCTTAGAGCTTCTCTCCCACCTACAAAGACGTGAGAGCAAATCACCCTGCATCCACCTCCACGATGCACCGTGCCCAGGATCTGACCACTGCCTTCCCACCTCCATGCTCCGGCCCTGGTCCACCAGGGCCTCCTGCCGGGACCCCTGCACCCTCTGACCCAGCTCTGGCTCCTGCCTGCCTGCGCTTGTGTCTGTTTTTCACACAGCAGCACCTGCCCGGACTTGCTATTCTCTATCCAGCGGCTAGAGGGTGCTTGTGACAACAGAAGGCAGATCCTGGTCCTTCCCTTCTCTAATCTCCGGGGCTCCCAAGTCACTCCAAGGACCTGCCAGGGATCCAAGGGTGGCCCTCAGGGACGCACAATCTGCCTCCCAGCATTTCTTCTACTTCATCAGCTCTCTGATGGCTGTAGAATGGGCTGGGCACACTGCCACCGCAGGACCCTTGTACTTGCTGCTCTCTGCCGGCAACATTGTCCCCCCAGAGAATGCCAGAGCTTGTGCCTCCACCACCGAGGTCTTGCTCCACTGCTGGCTTCACAGGGAAGCTTCTCTAAACCACACCCACCTTCTCCCAGCATTCCTCGCTCCTCTGCTTTGTATGTGACCGTGGCACCTGTGCCTCCAAATATACTGTGGTATGGTCTGTCTTCCCACTAGAGCCAAAGGATCCAGCACACAGTAGGAGATCAATAAACATGTGTGCAATAAATAGACACCAAGCATCATTCCTTCACATGTAGACTCAAGTGAGGAAGCTTCGGAAGAGTTTTCTACCACTGCCCAAGGGCAGCCAAGTCCCCTATGTGGGGCCATGTTTCCCAAGCAGGTTTGTCCTCCAACAAGGGCAGGCAGACAATGCCATTCAGCCACCTATTGGTGTTTTATAAAACTGAGGCCTAGGGCCGGCGCTGTGGAACAGCAGGTTAATTCTCTGCCTGCAGTGCCAGCATCCCACGTGGGCGCTGGTTCCAGTCCCGGCTGCTCCTCTTCCAATCCAGCTCTCTGCTGTGGCCTGGGAAAGCAGTAGATGGCCCAAGTGCTTGGGCCCCTGCACCTATGTGGGAGACCCGGAAGAGGCGCCTGGCTTCGGATTGGCCCAGCTCTGGCCATTGCAGCCATCTGGGGAGTGTATCAGTGGATGGAAGACCTCTCTCTCACTGTCTGTAACTCTACCCCTCAAATAAAATCTTAAAAAAACAAAAACAAGACAAAACAAAACAAAACAAAAAACTGTGGCCTAGGGACCAGGCTGTGGCATGCTGGGTCAGCATCCCACATGAACATTGGTTTGAGTCCCGGCTGTTCCACTTCCAATCCAGCTCCCTGCTAATGCACCTGGGAAAGCAGTGGAAGATGGTCCAAGTGCTTGGGCCCCTGAAACCTACACAGGAAATGTGGAAAAAGCTCCTGGCTCTTTGTTTTAACCTGGCCCAGCCCTGGCTGTTGTGGCCATTTGGGGAGTGAACCAGAGGATGAAAGCTCTCTCTGTGTCTTTCAACTAACTAAATAAAACTTCCATAAAACAAAAAAAAAAACCCCAACCCTGAGCCTATAGTTCTTCTTAAGAGTTCACAAATGGGGACCCAGGCTTATCCATCAGTCTCCTATGATGTGGGTTATGATGAGTCATCCCCCTGCCAGTCCACTTGACCAACAGGAGGTGGCCCAAGCTTCCTCTGAGATGTCTCTGTTTATAGGTGGTGGCCCCTAGACCCCGCCCCCTTCCCACTGCTCAAGAGCAAGTTCAGTGTCGTGTGACTTCTGCTGTTACAGGCCTCATGCCTTCCCAGCCAGCATAGAAACCTCCCAGCTGCACACTGGGTTCAAGTCTCAGCTCTGCTACCTCCTGGCCATGTGACCCGAGACAGGTCCCTGAACCTCTGTTTTCTTCCCTTAAAAAAAAATAATAAAACACCGCAGCTTATCTTCCGCATTGTTGGGAGATGTGATGACAGGGCAGGTAAGCGCACTCCCTCACCTGGGCCGAGCTGCAAGCTCAGGGCTTGAACTCAACCGTCCCACCCCAGAGCCATTTACTGAGTGCCCACCCGGGGCCAGGGGCTGCGAGGAAGACACAGGACAGCGCTGTCCCGTGCGACGGAGGGACTGGCGTCCCCTGGCCTGCTTCTGACCTCACGCTCTCAGGCGGCTGTGGGTGGCCTGCGCCGCAACCTTTCCGCTCCCAGGAACGGCAGGAATTGGGTAGGCGCCCCGAGGGAGACGCACAGAGTGAGCGCTTTGTGGGGCAGATCTCAATCGCAGCAGCCCGAGCCCTGCAGAGAGCTGAGGGTGAGCGGCAGGAACCCGCCTTCCCCCCGCCTCGCAGCTGCAGGGAGCCGGAGCGGGCTCCCGGGTCTGGCAGTGTAGGACGCTGGGAGTCCCCGCACGGTGCCACCGCCGCCGCCCGGCCCTTCTCGGCTCCGCCGCCTGCACCCTCTAGTGGCCACACGCGCGCCAGGCCTGAGGCTGGAGGAGCCCTAGGAATCCAAGGTCCTAGACCGGTCACCGCCCTCCCCTTCCTGTCGCTACCACAGTCCACCTTAGACGCTGACTCTGGGTCCTCCATTTTGGCAATCACTTCCAGGGCAATTCTGACAGATGAGAGCCCGGAAACCTCCAGATCCGACACGGGTACGGTCGGCACTGAACGTGGGCTTACGCAGAGTCTGGGCTCAGGGCTCCCCAGGCAGGGAGCGAGGGCTCAGGGCCCAAAGAGCGCAAGTTGCTGCCCAGGGAAGAAGGCATTTCTCCTGGGAGCCTGACCCCGGCCAAGCATCCGGGAACTCAGGGCTGCAGGGCTGCAAGAGGGGCCAAATGGAGCCACCGCTCATGTATCTGCCCCAGGGGTGTGCACAGCCCTGCCGACCTGCAGGCAACACCCCTTCTCCACACTAACCCCTTTCCTCTGCTTCCCAGCACACACCTGCCCCAGCCAAACCGGCTGCATCAAATCCCCCTCGGCCACTAATTACAAGCTGTGCAAGTCTTTGTGGCTTAGTGTCCTTATCTATAAAAGAGTGGTAACAACCACACCTCCTGACAAGTGCTGTGATGTGGAGTCTCTCCGGGCCTGGCCCGAAACACGTGGATTGAAAATCCTGCAACAGGGACCCCCCCAGCGACTTCCTGAGGTTAGGGATGCACACGCTGGCTGGAGGTTTTTAGCAGGTTAGCACTCTCCATAGGTCCCTGCACGAGCTCTCCATTTGCGATGAGGGGTAACGTTGCATATCAAGGTCGTCGTGAGAATTAAATGATTAAGTTTCGGGAACGCGGTGGAACACACTGCTATTGCACTCCACAGCCAAACCAGTAAGTGCCCTCCTAGAAGGGAATTCTTCATCCTGACCTCCCCTTGGTTTTTACGATGCATGAATTTCCCGTAGCGGGCAGTGACTGAGGGACCCCGGGACGGGTTTCCGGGGGTGCGGGTCACGCAGCCTTGGGGGTGCTGTGACGTAGGTGTGTTTGCAGAGTCAGCCTGCAGCTCACTTGCGGCGTGAGCACGTGACAAGCACCATGTCCCCGCGTCTTCAGGGCTCTGTGAAAGCACTCCGAGCAGGCCTCTGCATCCGCGTTTCCAAAGAAACTGAGGCTAGGACAGCTGCTTCCACTCGACCAGAGAGGCAGGGGACGGTGGGGACGTTTGTCGGTGCGGTATCGCATCAGGGGAGAGCCCCTGTCTCCCCCAGGGCGCGCGGCGCCAACAGTACCTGGCTTCAGGTACTGCAATGGTTCTGGGTTCTTCCTGCAAAGCTCGCCCTTCCCCCAGCGCCCAGACAGACTCGGGGCTGGGGGGCTAGCGCCGCCGCACAAGCACCGCGCCAGCCCCCAGCGTGCGCGCCCGGGGGAGACCCGCGCCCCCGCGGGGGAAGGGCGCCCAGCCCCGGGCCAATGGGAGTAGCGGAATTTCTTTCATTCAGCGCGGGGCCCGGCTCCTGCCCGGAAAGGGGCGGGGCGCCGCGCCGGGGGCGGGGCCGCCGCGCGCCGGGAGGGGCGGGGCCGGCCCCGCGGCCCGGCCAATCGGCGCCTCGCCCGGGAGGGGGAGGGGGGACCAGGCCTTTTTTCCCCTCCGCGCGGGACCAATCCCGACTTTACAAGCTTGAACTTTTGCCACCCTCGGACGAGCGAGCGCGCCCGAGGAGGTACCCCGCCGCGCCGGCTCCAGGGGCAGGAGCGGCCTTAACCCTTCCCGCGCCGGGCGGCCGCCGCGCCCCCGCCCACGGACCGCCCCGCACTCTCGTGGGGGCATCCTCGCCGGGGAAAGCACGACCCTAGGCCCCCAGCCCTCAACGCCTGGCAGATCCAATTGGCCAGGAAAAGGGGGGAGGTGGAAGCACCCGGCCTCGAGGGGGTCCGGGGACTACAGGCGGCTCCCCTCGCTCCTAGGCTGGGCCGAGAGGAGCCGGCGAGGAGGCACCGCTCGCCTCGACCCCCACCTCCTTCAACTAACCAGCTCGGGCCGTCCCGGAGCCTCCTGCCCCGCCAGTGCAAAGTCTCCCCCGCCCGCCCCCTCCCCCTCAGCTGGCTCAGCCGAGAGACCCCGACTCTGCACAGGGGGCCCGTCCTGCAAGACCTTGCTCCCCACCGTCTCAGCGGTCCCATGCTCCCCAGAGACGCGAGGCGGGCAGGCACTCAAGCACAGCCGTGCCCGCCCCGGCAACGGGGGCTTAGACCCACTCTGAAGGGCAAGGCGTATCTGCGAGTGGGTGCTCGAGGCGGGGGGCGCCGTGCGCGCCCGAGTGGCGGGGGGCTCGCCAGCGCCGCGTCCCGTCGTCACCGCGTGTACGCGGAAAGCGCGCGTGTGCCCGCTCGCATCCGTGCCCGGGGCGCGACGCGACGCGAGCCACCGAGAGCGGGCCTCGGGCGCTGTCAGGCCCGGGGCGGGCGCGGGGCGGGGGCCGGGGCTCGGCCCGCCCCGGGAGCCGGCCCCTGCGCGCCTCGGGCCCTGCAAAGGGACGTGTTCTCCTTTAAGAGTTAAGAAACTTGAAACCTTGTTTGCGCAACAATCAGCGCCGCGGAGCCGCCAAAGTGTCTAGACTGGCATATGATGGGAGGCAGCCAATGACTCCGCGGCGCTCCTCCGGGGGCCCTCAGTGTGCGTTTGAGGAGAACAAAAAAGAGAGCGAGCCGAGCGGGGGAGCGAGCGAGGGCGCCGCGCCGAGAGCCCGAGCCGCCGGGCGCTGCCGCGCCAGCCCTCGCGGGGACCGCGGGGCCACCGGGAGGCACTTTGGCGGAGGGGGGAGGCGGGCGACCTCGGCCGCCGCGGCGCCCGGCGCGTCCGAGCGCGGCGCGGGGCGGGCTGCGACCTCGGCCTCGGCGGACTGCACTTTTCATTAAGGATCCCCGGCAGCTCTTTGGGAATTTTTGCAGCTTCCACTCAATGTGTTGACACCCGCGTCCGGGAGGACTCGCTCCAAGTGCATCTAGCGCCGGGGACCTGAGACGGAGTTGGCCTTCCGTGCACGCAAATCCAGGGACTGGGGGTTTTGTTTTGGGATCGCTTCTCCCTCTCCTTCCTTCCTTTTTTTCCCCCCTCCCCGCCCCCCCCTCCCCTTTTATTTTGCAGGGAGTTAAGAAGGGAGCTGAGGGTATCTACAAGCCTGCCTTTCGGACCTGGCAGGAAGAGCCCATGTAGTGGAGCGCTTGAGTTTTTTTAAAAGCAGGGCTTCCCAGACACACTCGGGGTCCGGCGCGAGCGCTTTGTGCCCATGGACCAGCCGCGCGTCTCCTGAAGGCTCGCCGGCCCCTCGCGGGGTCGTCGCCGCCGCGGCGCGCCGCCTGCAGCCCCCCGGAGCGCGGGCGCTGGAGTGGCCGAGCGGCGCGGCCCCCGGCCCCGCGCGTGCTCTCGGCCCGCCCGCCTCGGCGAGCTCCCTCATGTTGCAACCCTGCGGCGCCCCTTCGACGACGGGCTGTGCGCGGTCTGCACGGCGCTCCGCGGCGGAGCTTCATGTGGGGCTGCGGCCCGCGCCTCGCTGAGGGAACGGACCCCTGGTAACCGGAGACCGCCTCCCCTCCACCCCCGGCGCCAAAGGATATCGTATGTTCAGGTCCAAACGCTCGGGGCTGGTGCGGCGACTTTGGCGAAGTCGTGTGGTCCCCGACCGGGAGGAAGGCGGCGGCGGCGGCGGCGGCGGCGACGAGGATGGGGGCTTTGGCAGCCGAGCTGAGCCGGCCCCGCGGGCACGAGAGGGCGGAGGCTGCGGCCGCCCCGAAGTCCGCCCGGTAGCCCCGCGGCGGCCCCGGGACGCGGTGGGACAGCGAGGCGCCCAGAGCGCGGGCAGGCGCCGGCGCGCAGGGGGCCCCCAGAGGCCCGTGTCGGAGCCGGGGGCCGGCGCTGGGGGCTCCCTGCTGGACGTGGCGGAGCCGGGCGGCCCGGGCTGGCTGCCCGAGAGCGACTGCGAGACGGTGACCTGCTGTCTCTTCTCGGAGCGGGACGCCGCCGGCGCGCCGCGGGACGCCGGGGACCCCCTGGCCGGGGCGGCGCTGGAGCCGGCGGGCGGCGGGCGGAGCCGCGAAGCGCGCTCGCGGCTGCTGCTGCTCGAGCAGGAACTGAAGACGGTCACGTACTCGCTGCTGAAGCGGCTCAAGGAGCGCTCGCTGGACACGCTGCTGGAGGCGGTGGAGTCCCGCGGCGGCGTGCCGGGCGGCTGCGTGCTGGTGCCGCGCGCCGACCTCCGCCTGGGCGGCCAGCCCGCGCCGCCGCAGCTGCTGCTCGGCCGCCTCTTCCGCTGGCCCGACCTGCAGCACGCCGTGGAGCTGAAGCCCCTGTGCGGCTGCCACAGCTTCGCCGCTGCCGCCGACGGCCCCACCGTGTGCTGCAACCCCTACCACTTCAGCCGGCTCTGCGGGCCAGGTGAGCGCGCCTCGCAACCCGCGCGGCCCCCTGTCCGCGTCTCCAGCGCCGTGGGCGTGGGCGGGCGGTTGGGGGTCCCCTGGCGCGCCCCTGCGGCGTTGGGCGCCCCGGGGGAGGAGGGCCGGGCGGTGGGTGTGCGAGCGCGCTCCAAGCAATGGCAACATAGTAGTCTTAAGGCTCGGGCAAACTTAGAAGGCACGCTTTGGGGGGGGGGGCGTTCTCCGTGCAGGCTCAGGGGTACATGGCGTAGGCTGCCACTTCACAGGTAGTGAAAGGGGAGGGCAGGCCGTTTCTCAGCCTTGGCATTTGGGCGCATAAACTGAGCCCACGTGATGTTCCTGCGAGTTGTGCAGCTGGGTGAGACACCCTGGCTGGAGTCAGAAGTGTGGTTGCAACGCCCTCCTTTAGTCTCTGGAGCAAGGCTCTTGGCGCGGCGAGCCCCCTCTCACTGCCGACACCCCGTGGGTGTCCATTGCCAGGGCCCTCCATCATCATCTCCAGTTTGTGTGCTGAGCTTTTCCAGAGAGCAAAGGCTCCTGCAGGCTTATGTGAGTAGGAAAGGAAGCCAGATATTGTATTACCCCTGAGAACAACCCCCTGCCCTTCTTTGTTCTCCTGGGATGTCCTGCGCACACCCCACCTGCAGCCTCGCTTCCCTGGGTCCTGGGTGCTGGAGCGAAGGTGAGGATAGGTGGAGTCCCTGGTTGGGCCAGGAGCTTGCAGTCCCCCTGCTCAGACCACTTTAGCCTTTAGGGGAGCACTTCAGGGGTGTGTGTGTGTGTGTATCCATTAGGTGGCACTGGGGGGTCTTGCAGAGGTGGGGCTGGCAGAGAGTGACAGGCGGCTGGGCCGGGGAGGGATCAGGATTCGTCCAGAGTGGCCTCCCTGGAGAGAGTCAGCGCCCAGCCTGGGGACACCTAGAAGGTCAGGCTGGTGACTCACAGGCCTGCTGGCTCTCGGTGTGGAAGGGGAAGGTGCACCTGGGAGACTGCATCTGTGCCAGGAAGACAATCCGTGGTGATGCCTGAGCAGAGGGCACTGATGCGGCGGGGGGAGGGGCCTGACCTGTCACCCACACGGGGCTTGCTCTGCCCTTTTGCCTCTTGTGACAGTTTTCCCCAGGAAGTGGCCTTCTTCTCTCTGCCCTGTCTCTGGGGCCCGGGGCCCTGTTGGTGGTTGTCCTGTCCCCGGTCATTTTTTTGTTTGTTTGTTTTGAGTGGGAGATGGCTGGTAGGAACCTCTCTGCTCTAACAGAAGGCATTGGTGGGTGTTTCCTCTCTCGGCGTGTCAGTGTGCCCGCGAGTGTTTGTCGAGCACTTTTCTCTGTGCCAGGCAGTGGCGGGAAAGATGAGGAGCACCTGGGCAGAAGGGATGCAGGCAGGGTCAGGTTTGTGCCTCTGTATGATGAGAAATGCTGCTGGGGGTGTGTGCCTGTAGTGGCATCACCTACAGGAGTGCCGTAGCTCCAGCCTGGAGCCTGGGCTCTGAGGACGGGGCAGAGAGAGAGAGTCAGGGCGCAGGGCAAGCTTGGTGGACGGGCAGGAAGCGGAGGACAGTGAACGGGACCTACCCCCACTTCTGCCTCCTCCACCAGGAGTTTCCCTGGCTGTTGGTTTGACTTAGGTGGCCTTGGCTGGTTCCTAACGATGGATCAGGTCCTAGGCTCTGGCCAGGCAATAACTGACAACCCATCAGTGTGGGTGGTTCTGGGAATATTCTCCACTTCTCTAATTCCAGGACTAAGCCTTGGGCTTGACTCCCTTCTCCCCACCAGAAGGAGGCGCTGTTGCAGCCTTCAGCACCTGAGCTTGCCCCTGCCTCCTTGCTAGCTGCCAGCCTGTGGGAGACCCCCACCTCCACCCCACCCCCCAGGCAGCCACGTTAGGGGCATCTGGGAGGACTGCTGCTCCGAGCCCTCCTGCTTGACCCCCTGGCCGCTGGGGCCGAGCTCTGGGGAAGCCCTTTGCTGCCCACCCCGCCCCCGCCGCCTGGCCGCCAGCCTGGCTCCCGTCGCTGGGCGGGCGCATAGCTGGGGCTCAGCCGTGCGCGTCCTGATAAGGAGACTGCTCCTTCCAGGGCTCTGGGGAGAGGGCTGGGCATGGGGCAGACAGACAGACAGACATGTACCCTGAGCAGGCACCCAGCTAAAGAGGAAAGCACATTGGCACACCCATGTACCCTGAGCAGGCACCCAGCTAAAGAGGAAAGCACACTGGCACACCGGCACCGGTCCTGCAGGCGCCCAGGGACCGGAGGCCCCTTCCTGGGCAGGGCAGGGGAGGGGGGACCCTGCCGCTCAGAGCCAGTCCTGTGCCATCCATCAGCTTGCTTGGGGCCTTGGGCCAGTTCCCCTCTTCCTGGGCCTCTTTATCCCTTCTGTAAAGGGAGGGGTTCACAAGTTCCCCTCTGCTCCCAGGGCTCAGCAACTGGGGTCCTCTAGTGAGGACCCCCTGTCTGTGCACAGCCCAGAGCCTCCTGGCCTCTCTGCCTCGTGGGAGTCCGGGCCCTCACTCTGCCTCCCTCCGGTGCGGCTTTCTGTCCCGGGAGAAGCCAGCGCACCAGGCTCGGTGGGTGCCTGTGTGGACGGAGATGTGGAGAAATGCTTTAATCACAACTCTAACCTGTGTTTATAGAGCTCCTTTCTCCTGAAAGTATCCATTAAGTTTGGAATAAATCTCCTGCTCTTTGCTTCACCACTTTTTTTTTCTGTAATTATATTCAGTAAATTACTATTATCCAAATTGCGCCCGGGAAAGAGACAGAGTGAGACAGAGAACTTCTAAACGGCTGGAGGAGGCCGCCGAGGAAAACACAGGGTTCCCAGGCCAGGACTATAGGAATTAGAATGGGCCAGAAAGTTTTCCTTTTATTTGGCCTGGCATTATCCCTTTGAAATGAGATCAATTTCAAGTTGGGCTTCCAAGCCCCGCCCCGCCCCGCTCGGCGGCCCCCAGGCCTGCCTGTCTGCCGCTCCTCGCTCCTCCTGGAGGTGAGGAAGGGGTGATAATGTGCAGTTTGCCTCTTGCTGGCGCCAGCCGGCCGCGCTGTTTATCTGGCTGCCGGGGGAATCTGGGCAATTAGGCTCAGCCGGCCTTAAAGTGCCAGGAGCTCCATTTCTGTCTCCCATCCTCGAGTTTGGGGTTGAGCCTCCAGGTTCAGGGGAGGTGGAGGAGATGGGCGCTGGGGAGGCCCCCTCCCCACCCACAGCCATTCCCTGGGAGCAGGGTCGAGGGCGGGGGCGGGGCGGGGTGGGGGGTGTTGTACTTGGAGGTCCAGAGAGGTGGGCTGCCGAGGTGGTGGGAGGAAGGTACCTCCCACACTGAAGCCTTGCCAGGCGTTTCAAGAGTCTGTGAACTCTCCCTGGCTTTAGAGTTTAGGTCCAGATCCCAAAAGGCTAAATACCCCCTGGGGCTCACCAGAGGCACGCCTGGGCTGAGCGCTGGCCTAGCCTCGTGGTGCACCCGGCCCCTGGCTGACTGCTCCTGCCCCTGAAAGAAATTGGAGGCGATTCCTAACGTTGATGCTTCAGTCTGGATGTTTGAAGGGTTGACTTTGCTGGTGTGTGTGTGTGTGTCCCAGTTTCTTTTAGAAGGGCGCTAGGAGTTCTTCTCCCTTTAAAGTTGAGAGCCTGCCAGTTACTGTTAAAATCAGCACCACTTTTGCAAGTACAAAGCCAACTTCTGAGAAGGGAAGTGCGCTGGGGGGCCCAGAGGTAGCTGTTTCTCTTGGGAGCTTTTGTCTCCCGCACTAAGCATCCCACCGCCGTCCCCGGGAAGCAGTAGGGCATCATTCTCCCTGAGAACGTGGGGCCGGCGGGTCACGTGGGAGTGGCAGCGAGGAGATACCCCGTGGCGTTCATAGCACGGTATTTGGAGACAGCCCAGATGTGCATGAGCTGATGAGCCACTCAACAAAATGTGGCCCATGCATGCGTTAGAATACCATTCCGCCATTCGAAGGAATGAAGACTGATCCACGCTCCAGCACAGCAGTGTGTGGACTGAGAGGCTGTCACAGAGGCCACGTGTCGCGATTCCATGCATGAGAAATGTCCAGGGGGCCAGCACTGTGGCGCAGTGGGTTTGCAAGACCAGAATCCCATATGAGCTCCGGCTGGGGCGCCGGCTGCTCTGCTTCTGATCCAGCTCCCTCTCACACAGCTGAGGAAGCAGCAGCAGTTGGCCCGAGTGCTTGGGCTCCCCCTGCCACCCACCTGGGAGACCCAGATGGAGTTTCAGGCTCCTGCCTGGCCCAGCCCTGCCACTGTGGCCCTTTAGAGAGTGAACAAATGGGTGGAAGCTCTCTCGCACTTGCTCTCTGCCTTTCAAGTAAATAAGTAAATCTAAATAAATAAATAAATAAGAAGTGCAGAAGAGACAAAATAGATCAGTGGTTGCCTAAGGTTTAGGGTTGGAGGTTTAGGAAGTGAGTGCTAATGGGGATAGGGACTCTTTGCGGTGATGAAAATGACCTGTAATTAGATCATGGTCAGTCACATAGCTTTGTGAATAAACTCAAAACCATTGAATTGTGTGCCTTAAAAGGGTGAGTCTTATGGTCTGCAGATTATATCTCAGTGTTTAAAAAAAAATGCTTACCCTAGTCCTGGTCTCCCACCGGCCTGGGGCTTGGTCTAGTTAAAACACAGTAACATCTACTTCCTGTGTGGCCTTGGGCAGGTCCTTCACCTGGCTGTTAAAGGAGGCGCCTGCCAGGTTGGCTGTTAGTTAAAAGGAGGAGTTGAACCACAAGTCCCCGGATCCCTCTGTTGTGGGGTGGAGTCGGTGAGCAAGCCCGCTCACTTTTTTACCCACCTAGCATGGAATTTAGTGATTAGCTAAAGCTTTGTAGCCCCTCACTCGTTGGGCTGTCTGATGTTTCAGGTTTGTAGACTTGCTTTCTGTCTCACCTGCAACAGCCAGAATCCATCCACTCAGATGTGGTCGTGGGTGGCAGGTGTGACGCCTGCAGGGAGGACTTCTTGAGCCATTCCTGCCCTTTATCTGTGGGGTCCCAAGTAAGCAGGCCCGAGAAGAGATGCTTGGATTGGCGACAATGGCTTAACATTAGCTACACCCTTCAGTGTTACCAACAGGGGGCAGATGCCCAGAACTTCCTGCCAGTCAGAGCTTTTTTAAAAGATTTATTTTTTTATTTATTTGAAAGGCAGAGTTACAGAGAGGCAGAGGCAGAGAGAGAGAGAGAGAGAGAGAGCGAGCGAGCTGAAGCCAGGAGCCAGGAGCTTCTTCTGGGTCTTCCACGTGGGTGCAGGGGCCCAAGGAGTTGGGCCATCTTCTACTGCTTTCCCAGGCCACAGCAGAGAGCTGGATCGGAAGTGGAGCAGCCAGGACTTGAACTGGTGCCCACATGGGATGCCGGCCCTACAGGCAGCGGCTTTACCTGCTGCACCACAGCTCCGGCCCTGCCAAACGGATTTTTGCAAAAGCAACGCTAATCCAGGAATTGCGGGCATTCTGATGTCTGAGGAGTGGCCGAAGGCTGTGAGGCTGGGGTTAAACTTGACTCTGAGTCTGGCTCCACAGCAGTTCTGAGGGAGTCCCTTCCACTCGCCCGGCCTCAGTTGGGCCTCCCTGTGCAGTGGGAGTGCCTCAGCTCTCTTTCCCTGTGGAGGGCCAGCTCTTCCTGTGCCATGCCTCCTGTCTGTCCTCGGCCCAAGGTCACATGCATAAAGTGGGAGGCAGGTGGCCCCATCTACTGAGTCTTGTTTGAGGTCTTGTATGGGTTCCCTTTCGCCCACAGGCCTTTTCACCTGTACCTTTGTCCACAATGTACCCACCTTGGCCGTCATCCCCATCGCTGTTTGTGGCCACATGGATCTAGTGAGTCCTTTCTGTGCAGGATTCTCCAAGTGACAGCCAAGACCCAGCAGGGGTGAAAGGGGGTGTCCTGATTCCCTGTCTCATTGGGTGATGGAGCAGGGTCAGGCCTGGGTGCAGACCCCTGCTGTGCTCTGATTGGCAGGGGGCCATCTGTGAAGTGGGGCTAATTCTGCCATCTTGTTCATTTGTTTTGCTTTTGAGAAAGGATGAAATAAAAATAGGACCATCATTCTGTCCCTGAGACCTAAAGAATAAAACACCAATGAACGAAATGGAAAGTCGCTGCCTGGCTTGGAGTGAGACCCGGGGCAGGCATGGGGCTCCTCTCTCCCAGGGGCCGTTCTGTGAGGCACTTTTTCTTCTCCCTGACCGTGTCCACAGCAGATTGCCTGGGTGTAGACCTGCAGGCCTTCACTATGTGGAAGTAGCTTCTAGCTGGAACGGCCGGGGTGGGGAAGAGGTGAAGCCTCATTGGACGCGTGGAGCAGAACAAATGCTCCGACAACTAATTGTGCCTTATTATAATTACGAAAAACACTTATTACCCCTTGTGTCGTTACTGATACTCGCCTAATAATAGTTATTACCACTTTATTGCCTCGGAGAGTTTGTTTTAGTTTGCGATTTGGTGGTGTTTAGTTTCATTTAGGGAAAATGAAGGGTCATTTCATTCATGCAAATTGTTACTTAGTTTAGCAAATTGTTGCTTCCCATAAAGCAAGAGGCTAAGGAATTCTTCTGAAGGCAAAATATATGTTTTTAAGCAGGAGTATTTTAGGCAGATGAAAGGCAGCCCAAAGAAAAATACCGTAGACAGCGAGGAATCAGAGAGTCTGAGCTGGAAGGCTGGAGGCGGCCTGGACTCTGAGGCCGAGAGCCGGAAGTGAAGAGCTGGGGTGAGGCCTCCTGTCCAGGTCCCTGAGCGGGGCTTCCCTGGTCTGCGCCTGCCCGCCAGCCTCCTGCACCCTAGGGTGTTAGTTCTGAGGCAGCTTGTTCGGAAGCCAGCATCCATGTCTGGGCCTCTGCAGTCACCCCGGGTCCTGACCAAGCCTGACAAATTCCAGTCTCAGAGAAACAGCGTGTCCCATTGCAGTATAAGTAGGTCCCACATGTTGCAAGGGATGGACTTACACTAAAACAAAATAAGACCCTGCCACGTTTACCCAAAATTCAGGTTGAGATGGGCACCCCGTATTTTCTCCGGCAACCCCAGCTCTGACTTCCTGTGCCTGTGTTTCTGTTGTTATCGTAATAATCACAGAGGTGTCTTTCTACAACGCCACAAGCTGTTCTCAGCCTTTTGCCTACATTATCTTCTGTTACCGTGCAGGAAAGCGGGGAGGTCTGTCTGATCATTATCTCCATTTTAGAGCTGAGGAAACAAGACTCAGAGAGGTGCTGTAACTTGCTTGGGGTCACACAGCCAGGGGAGGCAGGGGAGGATTTGAGCCCAGGTCTTGTGTACATCCATCCGGTTTGGGACAGCAGAGGTGGGGGCGGTGGGGAAGGGAAGGTGTGCAAGGGCATGGGGTTATGATTTGCAGAAACCACTAATTAAAAGCCCAGGTGTGAGCTCCCCCGCCCCAGCAGTGACATCTTGTCTCCTGTCTTCCAGAATCTCCACCACCCCCCTACTCTCGGCTGTCTCCTCGCGACGAGTACAAGCCACTGGGTAAGTGTACCCTGGTACCACGCTCATGGCAATGTGGCCATCCTGCGTCCCCCTGCAGCCCAGAGCTGGAAGGCAGGCTGGAGGGGCGGCGGGGCGGGTGGAAGCCGGCCTGGTTGCTTTGAAACGGGGTGAGGTTTTACGTACACTCCCACGGTAGGGCAAAGCAGACCCAACTTCCCCAGCACGCTATTTACATCTTGAAATTCCACAGCTCATCATTAACCTTTCTGTGACCTTTAAACACGGGCTTGTGGGAGATGAATGGGCTTGGGCTGAAGTAGCTCCTTGGGAGTGGGTGGGTTGTCCTGGGTCTCTTCTCCTCCCTCTCCCTCCCTGCCCCACCTGGGGCTGGTCCCCTTCAGTCAGCTCAGGCTCTGGGATGGATGCCTGTGCCTCTCTAGGTAGAGGTGGCTCGTCCTTCGCTGGCCGTCTCCAAGGCAGGGCTCCGAGCGCAGGTTCTGAGCCCGAGCGGCGGTGGGATCCGTGGCATCCCGGCGGCGGGCTGGGTTGCCGTGGCCTTCACTGTCCCGGGAGAGCAGCTTTGTGCCCGCAGCAGTTCCCGTGGGCCTGGAGCTGTAAAAGTCAGATGGCGTGGCATGATGCTAAAACATTCCACCCCGTGACCACGAAGGGGGGGGGTTTGTTTTGTTTCTGGTGTAGGCCTCCCCATAGCATGTGTCAGCGCCGTCTCTGCACTGTAGTTTCCCGTGCAGGCCCTCCCCTGGGAGGCCCGAGGCGCCCACCCGGCCCCTGCAGGGGGTTTGACCTCCAGGGGCAAGGGAGGGCAAGGCTGTCCCACGAGACACTATGAGTCAGTGGCTCCATGATGGTGGCTTCCCCGCTGTTTGTTCCAGAAGCATGATGGTCTCGTGGACGGAGGAGCTTTGTTTAGTTCTTTGGAGACTTGGAGGGGTGTCCTGGTGGGAGCCCAGGAGTGGGTGTGCATGAGGGGGAGGAGCCGCCCAGCCAGCGCAAGGCAGCCCCCCTGTGCAGGTCGGAGGTCCCCGTGCTGTCCTTCCCTCCCGGGGCCTGTGTCAGCAGTGCCTACGTCAGCGGGATTCCAGTAGGCACTGCTCCTTTAGGAGGTCCCCTCTCAAACGGTCTTAGTGATAAAGTGGCCCACACCAGGATGCCACCCAACCCTGTAGTGGAGTGGCCAGGAAGCCAACAGGTGTCTCCATGGAGGAGGCGGCGGGGGAAGAGTGATGCTCCGCCCCCTCCTGTTTTTAAAGGGCGTGGCCACTAAGTGTGGCTTTTAGGATGGTTTGAAAAGTCGAAAGAATACTGTTTCCTGGTCACAAGGAAGGGATAGGAAACTCAGATGTCCATGCGCAGCGGGATGGGGGGGTGTCCGCGCGCGCTGCCCCAGGCTGTTCATTCGCTGCGCTGACAGAGAGCAGCAGGAGTGAGGGAGGTTGAGGGACAGTGGGTTTGTGACGACAACACCTGCCCTGCGTGTGAGGGTTTGGCCAGGGCGTGGAGCTGGAAGCCGCCTGCTGTCCCGACTCCTCCTGATAACCTCCCGATGCTGTGTGGGCATCAGAGCGAGTTCCGAAGGCCTGGGCCTGGCCGGGAATGCCGCTGCTTCCAAGGGCTTGGGGCGCTGAGCACGGAGGGGCGGGTGTTCAGAGTGAGCAGGCAGCCCCCTCAGAGCTGCTCACGTCGGCATGGAGGCCTTTTCACGTGTGTGCTTCAAACTTTCCATGCGCCCTGGTTTTCTTGCTAATTTCTTTTGCCCGGCAGATCACTTTTTTTTCATGCCCTTATAAATAGTCTGCATTATTTTTTGGTATTATTTTCTTTTCCTTGCATTGTTGCTTTTCCATAAACAAAGAGGCAGTTCACTTCTAAGCCTCTGTGATCACAGGAGACCCAAAAGCAAAATAAAAACGCAGAACACCCAGTCAGCATCTGGCAACTGGGAAATGAGAAAAAAAAAAGAAAGAAAGAAAGAAAAAAAGGCCAAACTGGTTCATGTTTCATCTTCCCGCTCCCCAAGCCTTGTGGTAAAAGGAAAAAAAAATTCCTGCAGGATCGAACGGAATTCCAGCTAGCGAGGGCCCAGGCCAACGGTTTTGTCCCAGGAATCCCCCTGCTTGGAGTGGCCGTGCTGAGCCAGATGGGACCAGCTGAGCCAGACCTGGGTCGTGCTGGGTGAGAAGATGATGAAGAGACCGCAGGCCTCCCAGGAGGTGTCTCCCGGCCCCAGGACAGGGCTGGGGACAGCACCCCATTGCTGGTGGCAGAGGCCCAGGCCCAGCAAAACTGTCCTGACTCTGCCTGTGCTCACGAGAAAATGTGCAAAACAATTTCCTATTGCCATCTCACCGACTCGGGGAAAACAAATAATGCACAACACGTGAAGTGCTTACAACTCCTTAAAAAAAGTGATGCGCAGAAAGCTGCTCTCGGAGTAGGTTGGGCTCTTAGGGAGTGGGGGAGGGGAGCTAATCTGGGAGCAGTGGTTGAGCCCTTAATTAGAGGGGTGTCCACGGGGCCGGAGCGAGGGTGGCTGGTGACTTGTTAGAACAGTTTCCCCGGCTCCGGCGGGAGGAAGGGAGGAAGGAAGGGAGGAAGGAAGGAAGCAAGAAGGAACAACTTCAAGAATTTTAATGGTTGTAATTAAGTCCAGCCACGATGAATTGTTCCGGGGCTTAATTTAACCTTACCCAGGGAAGCTCCAAGTTGCTACTTGCTCGGGCGGTCCCCGGATCAGGGCTGATTTCTGTGGTCAGAGCAAGTGCCGGGGGTGGCAGCTGTCTCTGTTTGCCAGGAGTTTTAGGGCTGGCTGCTCTGGTCTTGGAGAAGTCCTGGGACGCGGGTGTGGGGGTGTGAGGTGGTGTGTGTGTGTGTGTGTGTGTGTGTGTCACAGAGTGGCCTCGGGGAGTTCAGCATGTGCACGTGCACACAAAACGTCAGTGCACACACGGGAGAGGCAGGGAGGGTCCCACGGCCAGCTAAGTTCTCTTTTGTCTTTGCTCCCGCAGATCTGTCTGATTCCACATTGTCTTACACTGAAACCGAGGCCACCAACTCCCTCATCACTGCGCCCGGTGAATTCTCAGGTGGGCGTGTGCTCCTCCTTGCGCCTGGCTGTCATATTGGACTTGATTGGCGGGCGCGGGGTGGGGCGGGGCTTGTGCGGGCTTTGTGACTGCCTCCGCCTTTTCCTCCCGCCCCGTGGACGGGCACATGGCCAGCGGCCTAGTCGCTGCTGTTCTGGGGGTGAGGACCAGCCTGTCGGGGCGAATCCTGGACATGGTCACTTGTCTTTCAAGTGCCTGTTGGCCATGTTGTCACTGGTTGTCTCTACCTGGTCTTTCGTGGAAATGCGGAAAGCCCGGCTCAGCTCAGCAGAGCAGCCGTGTCCCCTCCCGTGGGGGGAGAGTCTCGCCCGTGGGAAGGGACGCAAGAGGCCAGGAAACAGAGTGGGCACAGTGAGCTCTGGGGAGGCTCTGACCAGGGAGGGTTTGCCAGAGGCCTGTGGTTTCTGTCGCTCTCCTGGAGCAGTGGGTGCTGGGGTAGAAGCAGAGAGAACCTGGGGTTGGAGCCCCTCGCCCCTTGCAATGGAAAGCTGGCCACAGGAGCCCCCCACATTCGGAGAGATTCCTGAGTCTGGCTTTGCCGGAGGAGATGAGAGTTGGTGAGAAGCGAGGCCTAGAAGGCCAGGAAGGACTTGGGGGGGGGGGTGTTTCAGGAGGACCCGTGGGGCGTGTGGCCCGACTCTGTGCTGGCAGGCCTCACGGCTCCTCGGCTGTGGCTGGTCTCTGCGTCTGAGCATTACTGCGCCTGCGCCGAGCCCTAGTCGAGATGGGAGTGCGGCTGTTGATTGAGGGTTGACAGCGGATCAGGCCATGCGCTCGGCCCCCGTTACCTGCAGCACTCAGCCGGGGTCCCAGGTCCGGGAGGTGCCTGGCCTTGCCCAGAGCCCTTCCCCGTGCGGCTCCCTGTTCTGCCCACGGTGTTCCGCACACGGGTGCGGCTGTGACTGGCCCACGATCGCTCCGCAGCCCCTGGATCAGCGGGGGCTGCAGTCCGCGTGTCCGTCTGGTCTCTGGTGGCCCCTCTGAGTGGCCACTTCACTGTCTTCTCTGCCTTTTGGCCTTATTTGGTTATCTCTCTCCCTCAGAGGCCCAGACGGCTGAGTACAGAAGCCATGTGTAATTTTGAAGCAAGAGGCTTAAGAGTATTTCTGAATTTATGATTCTGTGTCCCTGCCACCCATCAGATATTCAATTTAGGTGGATTAGCATTGGTTGTCTGGATGAATAGGTACTTTTTTTGACCTCCCCTTTGCCCCTATTGTTGATGGGGGAAATGTGTGTGTATGCGTGTGGACACGTGTGTGCGTGTGCACACGTGCTTGTGCCAGCCATAGCAGAGTCTCACGTGGTCCCAGTCATCCTGGAGGGGCCTGATGCATGGCTCAGGCTCCATGAGCCGACCCCAGAGCACCTGCAGAAGGCCCCTCCCACAGTGTGGTTCCCAGGAGAGAGCGCCCTCTGCAGGCTGGAGGTCTCTAGAGGTTACCCCCACACCCCTCCCTGTCTCTGTTGCCCAATGGAGCAGTCCTTGGTACCGACGGTGAGAAGCCTCCTGCGGCTCTTGACTGTGGGTGAGGACTGTGTGGCTCGCATACACTGTGCGTCCAGTGGCTTGGAATTCTCAGGGGCTGATGGATTTGGGGAGAAATCTGGGCTGTCCTTTGGGAAGGAGATTGCATGAGGTCTCAGTGGGCATTGGCGTGAGCTCCAGGTGGCCTCAGGGTGAGTGGAGCGGCCCCTTTGATGGTGGTCATGCAGGCTCCTTCCAGGGATGACCCGTGTCCCCTCCCCCTGGGGGACCTGCTGTTCCCTGTTTCTGGCTTGCTCTGTGCCGTGGGAATCCGACACCTACAGGGGAGAGCTGCCCCCACCCCCCAGGAGCTCAGGCTGTCACCCCTGAGGGCTGGGATAAAGGGTCCTGCAGGAGGGCAGGGCAGAGAGGCAAGGGGACAGGCCAGGGTGGTCAGGGACAGGTGATGATGGTGCCACTGGTGACAGCTGGTGCATTGATGGACACGCACCTCGATGGCTGCCAGCCATCCGCTCCTTATCCCTGCCTAGGGACAACAGATCTCCCCACTGTACAGGAGAAGAAGCAGGCTCATCCCTGGGATCTGTGCTCGGATGACCAGAGTGTGAGGGGCAGGTCTGGGGTGTGAGCCTGTGCCCAGCCCCCACCCTCAGGGCCCCGCCCTGCATTCCACAGCCACTGGCCCGTTCCCTTCCCTGGGGCCAAACCCCAGCAGCCATGAGGCCACAGAGCAGAGTGACTGAAAGGAGCCCTAGTCTCCCCCTTGGCCTCTGCCTTCCAGATAAAGTGGAAATAAATAAATAATCCACAATGAGCAGGGGGCGGGGCAGCCTGTGCTGACTTGAGGACAGGGATGGGACAAGAGGCTCTGTGCCCATCCAGGCTGCCTCCCTGCGCCTGCAGCCCTGGGATGGAGACTGTCCTTGCTGGTCTGCACAACGACGCTCCCCACGCCTGGGCTGGAGCTGCCTGTTTGTACCCAGCTCCGAGTCTCTGCTTCGCTTCCCCGTCCTGATGTGGGACATCACGTCCCCAGTGTGGGGAGTGGTGGGAATTCTGAGGGCCAGGCACCTTGATGGGCGGGGCAGCAGGAGAGGAGACAGCACCTGTGTGAACCCTGCAGCAGATGGCTGGGGTGGGGGAGGGGCAGGTGAGCTCACCAGGGCTCCTCAGTGGGCAAGGGGGCCGGAGCACGGAGCTTTGATCAAAGGTGGGGTCTTCAGTGGGGTGTGGAGGTACCTTTGGGTGCTGGCTCCCACTCTGGTTCTCTCAGCTGACTCAGGGCCTCCAGCGCTAGCCCCTGAACGCGTAGCACCCCTCGCCCTGCCCCAGGCCATCCCCTTCTCTGTGATGTTTCCATTCCTTTCCTAATTTATTGGAAAAATGTATGCATTTTGTTTGAAAGGCTGAGTGACATGGGGTAGGAGAGAGAAAAAGGGGTCTTCTGCCCACTGGTTTACTCCCCGAATGGCCACATCACCCGGGGCTGGGCCAGGCTGAAGCCGGAAGCCAGGGTTCCCATGTGGGTGCAGGGGCCCAAGCACGTGGGCCATCCTCTGCTGCTTTCCCAGGTGCATCAGCAGGAAGCTGGATCGGAAGTGGAGCAGCTGGGACTTACACTAGCGCTCCAGTATAGGATATGGGTGTTGCAGGCGGTAGCTTAATTGGCTGTGCTGCAGTGCTGGCCCCTCCTCTCCCATTTTCTTGATTTTACTGTGGGGAGGAAGGAAGATGGATTAGTGAAAGAAATTCATACTAAAGTGTGAGCGGCTGGCTGGCAGCCTCCTTTGTTTTTCAGCTTTAAGGCAGGATATGCCGTGATTCAGGCTTATTATAGGGAGAGGGGAATAGGGAGAGGGGACAGGGCTTCTGAAGAAGGCTGGGGTCTCTTGGCTTCTCCTACACTATGCCCTGGGCGAGAGCTGGAGTCCTCGCCAGGCCCGCCTGGGTGCCGGGGCCGTCATTGAAAGCTACTTGTGCACACCGGCCTGCCTGAGTCCGTGCAGTGGGCCGGGGCCTTATTCTCCTACCTGCTTTATTCAGCACCTGCTGTATGCAAGGCCTGGTGTGGGTGGGCTGTGCGTGGGCCTGCGGGTTCAGCTTTCAGAGCTGGGCTCTTCTCACCCGGGCTACAAGGAGAGGCAGGGCCTGAGCTGGATGTGAGTTCTGAGAGCGCTGAGCATTCTAGAATGGTTTTACGTTGTGGACAGAGTTTGGAGACAGGCTCAGAGAGGTTAAGGGATGGGCAGAGGCCACACAACGTGCATAAGCAGGTGGAGCCAGGCTGTATCCCGGATAGCTGTGTGTAGCTTGCCCGCCTGCTGCTACCTGGTGGGAACTGTGCCTGCCCTTTTGTCCTGGCTTCCCAGTGGTTCTTCAGCAGCCTTTTGGGGTGGGCGCTGTCTGGTGTTCGTCGTCGGAGCCTGCAGGAGCAGGGAGAGGAGTGTGCGTGCACTGCCCCCTTCCTGCCCCTTCCTTGGTTTTAAGGCCCACCACGTTCTCGTCAAACCCAGACCGCAGGGCTGTGTGTCCCCTGGGGCACTCTGCTCAGTTAGGCTGGGATACGCTCGGCCTCTGCATCAGTGGTGGACTGAAGGCCACTCAATAGTTGTGTGACTTTGGGGCAGCCACTTCAGCACCGTCTTGCCCTCAGTTTTCTCACCTGTAAAATGGGTATGGTAGCAGCAACATGGATCTTTTGTGGGCAGGGCGAAATGAGAGTGCTGCCTGCAAATCAGCCAAGGCCTGGCAGGCAGCGTGTAGTGGGTGTGGCCGGGCTGGGGGCGGAGACAGGAGTTACAGCGTCTCTGCCCTCAAGGTGCTCAGAGCCAGGTGGAGACACAAATAGTGAGAGGAGGCGGTGCGGGGCTGGAAGAGACTCTTGGCAGCCCTTGAAGACTGTGGAAGTGGTGGTACCCAAGCTGGGGTTCACAGGTGAATGGCAGTTGACCAGAGATGCAGGAATGGTAGGTGCCAAGGATGGAGAAACAAAACAGCGGATGTTGGTGGGAGATGAGGCAGGGCGAGGCCAGGGCCCAGAAAAGCTTCTTTAAAAATATGGTGCTGCACATTCAGAGTGCACGGGTGAGTGTCCAGCTGCGAGTTTCCACAAGCTGGTCCCATTGGAGTGACCGGCAGGGCCTCGATAATGTGGCTGTCCGCTGACACAGCACTCACCTCCTCCCGGCTCCAGATGTCTTCGTCCCAGGCCACAGCGTCGGTGTGGGACAGTGAGAAGAGACACTAAGATGCTGCAGGCCAGAAGCCCCTGTCTCTGCCCATCCTCCAGGGCCCAAGAGCTGGCACCCACGACCTGGGACACAGTGCCCCCAGGTGGCCCCAATGCACAGCTGAGCACACTGAGGCCAGAGAAGTGAGGCTCTTGCCTGAGGTCACACAGTAGGGAGAGGGCAGAGCAAAGCCTAGAACCCGTGCTGGTGCCCCACCCACCACCCAGGCTGCTGCTTGGCAGCCCAGGCTGGCCAGGCTC